GATGTTTATGTCCTCAGTTACATGGATTTTTCAAGAAATGGTTCACTTCTGTAATCGGACAAGCTAAGAGCAATGTACTGCCTGTGGGGAGAGGTGTTGTAGAAGCGTGGGCTTAATGATGGGTCTCTTTAGAGCACAGAGCCTTACTGAGAGACATCCATACCCTGGGCTTCATGCAGTGTTGCAGCATTTGTTATACTCCTGAGTCTCATAGACTTGACACAACCGGTCAGTGAGCTGATTAGCTGTGTCTTTTGTATGCTGGAGACAGTGGGAAGGGAACCGTTGAGTTCATGGTTTTGCAGATGTTGGAGTAGGTGGGCATGAAGCTTGGAGGACCATTCGCTGAATTCTGCATGTGATATTCAAGACTTGACAAAGTTAGTCTTTCTGATGGGAAATCTGTCACTATTTTGTTTTTGCCCTTACCGTGTTTAAATCTTGTGTTCTTTAACACAGTTCAGTTGATACGGTGGGAGAATAAACATACAAAGGCCTGTGTTACACTTAAATTCAGAAATGAGAGAAAATGTAAATGTAATTAGCACTACTACAACTCCATGAGTAGAAGAAACATCTCATACTCCTGGAATGTTGATTGCCCCCACCATTTCAACAATTGCATAGATTTGTTTGCAACACTTTATGCTCTGCTAAATGCCACCAATTGAGTTGCAAAAAGCAAGGCAAAAATTTCCACTTCTGTAATTCTATGATAAGAAGAATGAATGGTTAAGATGAGATATGGCTAAGATGAGCTTTCATGCCTACTAACCTGACCTCCTTGATAAACTATAGATTATTTTAGAATTATAGTAAAATAATTTTAATAAATTCAGAAGGTGTATAACCTTCTGAAAAAAATCAAGTTCCATATTCATTCATGAAGTCATAATCTTCAGTCTTAGGCTGTCTTCATGTGTGAGTGGTTGACAAAGCTGAGGTTTAGATACTGCATTTATGCTTGCTATATCCCCAACCTGTATAGATCTGTGCTTCTAATTCTGACTCTCTAGTGATTTGAGCAGATCATACACTGCAGTTGTGCACTGTGGTCTCATGCCAAGTGACCTGCAGGTCAGCATATTTTTGGGCCAGATCACAAATTGAGTAATCCAGTCTTCTGTCATTCTTGTCACTTTATTTGTATGTATTGTGACTGGCTTTTACACACTGTAAACAGCACCAGTGGAGTGACTGTGCTTGTTATATAGAAGAAGGGTTGCTATAAAAATGACTAGAAGATGATATGTGGCTAGGGAATGAATATCACTCATTCCCAGTGAAGTGTAGTGCATGGATGGACAGTGCGTCATGCTGATAATGTCCATGTAAAAGATGTATCAAGGGATGAGAGCTAGAAAGATGAAGAGTATTTTGAAAGGCAGAGGAGAATGAAGCTGAGGTTATACATTTACTGCAAATTCCGGGAGCTAAGGAGTCTTGCTTTTCCTTACTGCTGTTAGAACAGGCCACTGCCACCTGTGTCCTGCTGTGTTCTTAGCTTGTATTCCTGATGGGAGTGAGCAGCTGGGGCTGGATTCACTTGCTGAAATGTATGTGTTTACTACCACTTGGGATGCTGCAGGGCATCTGGCTGCTCATGCAGTAAGGTTTGAGTCTCGCCCAGATTACTTTTTTTAATGTCAGCTGTGTGTGGATGTCTTGGATGTACTAGGGTGTCTAAGATACCAGTAAGTGCCTATAATTTGGCACTTGAACTTCTAGTTCCTCGCTTGTTTTATTTCATTGATGTGTTATATTCATGTGTGTGCATCAGATTTAATTTCTTATTGTATTGCAGATTTATAGTAGTTTGAAATTATGATTCTTTGCTATGCTTAAACTCTGATCAGTCAGTTATGCTATGGTTTATTTCTTGTTACAATGGTGAAAAAGCTAGCGTACCTTGTATTTGTTAAGCAAGTTTTTTGAGATTCCTCCATTTCAATGGGAATAAGAAATCTTGAAGTTGTATCGTTATTTAGTATTTATTTACTGCTAATTATAAGGGGGACATACAGATTTTCCTTTGTCTTCAATCAGAAGGAATGTATGTCCTTACCTGTTCCATATGCATGTAGGAAGTGCAGCTTTTTCAGCAATACTCTCCTCAAATTCTGATTGGAGATTTTGCTCTGTGTGTGTGTGTGTGCTCGTGTGTGTGTAATTTTTTTCCCCAGATTTCAGTTTTTATTCACGTGCTGTAGTGAAACGTGTCTGTTTGAGCCAGTAAAATGTCCACATCTGTTCTTTTGTCATCCAGTTATGAGAATTAAAATCATGTTGTTTCTCAAGAATTACAAATATGTAGAATATTACAAGAGGTAATGAATCTTGAGATGATAATAATTTTCATTGCAACCTGATGTCCAGGGTCCAAATGCTATGACTTCAGGCAGATTGAAAGTGATCTCTTTGAAAGAAAAGTTGAGGTTTTGTAAGCCAATTCTTTTGATGGATAATTAATGAGGAGAGGAAAGGAAGGCAGGCTTTCTGACATCCTGCTTAGTTAAGCATTTATGTTGCTTTAAACACTTGAGTACTATGTGAGTAACTCACATTTAAATTAAATGTATGCAGTGATCAGTTGTGGCGTGTTGACCAGTTTGAGGTTTGTTTTTTGTTTCTTTTGTGGTTTGTTTAGTTTTTTTTTTCCCCCTCAGCACTAAGAAAACTAAATTGTAACAAAATACGAATAACATAACAATTAACTGTTTTAATAGATTTGGCTCAAATGTGTTCATGAGTGCTCTTCGGTTGGCAAACTGCAACATAGCATAACATTATTTTTAGGTCCACAATTGGGACATTATTAAGCATTTCTTTTAGAAGAAAAAGAAAATTCCGTTCACAAGTATGGTGTGTGATATTTAAAAAGCAGGAGGCTATTAAAATTAGGTATCTTTAGCTATACAGTTGAGTCTTTCACTTTCAAATAGATTAACATGTAATTATCGTAGAGACCTCTAGGAAAATTTTCATATTCTACAATTATACTTTTTGATTCCTTGTTTTGTTTTATTTCTGCTTAGTTTGCTATGTATTACTTAATAGGGTGAGGATTAATTTTCAGTTTCAATTTTAAACTTAGGGTAATAATTTTATGTCCTTCACCTGCTGAGTCTGAGGTATAGAATAAAAGTATCAGAAAAAAGGAAAGAGAGAACTGTGGAAATTTTAAACACTGTGTTCTTAATTCACCTTCTCAGCTCGCAGAGAGTACCACCTGGCAGTATCAAGCAAACTGGAGGATTTTTTTGTTGCTTTTTTTTTCCCCTGGTGTTAGCCAGATTAACACTTTCCAAAGCCCAATGGCTTGTCTTTCTGCTGTAATACCTTTCTTGTGTGTTTTACAGGTCTCCAGGTTTATTCAACTTTTTTCCATAAGTGTCATTGTTCAAGAAGCCTTTGCAAAGAGTAGTACAGGTGCTTTATTTTGTTTGTTTTCTTTCATTTTTAAGCTAAGAGGTTTTTGTGAACCATTTGCTGCCCTGTTAAGCAGTCCAGACAAGTAAGTAGGGTCTTTAGCTGATGTTATGGCTCAGCATCCCTTCTAGTTACTGAAGGGGAACATGGAGGAGAGTGTTCTGGCAGGTGGCAGAGCATGTCTTCTGCATCGCTGTGTGTTCACATGATGGTAGGTGCAATGATGGGAAACGGCCCCTATGTATCTCATTTGATTTCAGATCGGAATCATCTGCTGACCTCAGGACAAGCAGATTTCTGTGATTAAGTGGCAAGCATTTGTCAGACTGCAGGGGAGATCTTCACATACATTGTAGTCATGGGTTCTCCTTTCTTCAGTCTTTCTTCATAGTATCTATGTTAAAGCTTGAAGTTTAAACTCTGTTGCATACTTCTTACAAATTCAGAAAGTGAGGCTACAAATTCAGAAAGTGAGGCAATGTCTGCATGAATAATTTTGCTATTTTATTGTCACTATAAAGAATATTTTTACATGGCAAAGGACATGTTGATAAGTGAAGTCCCTAATTTCTCTTAATAAATCTCATAAGACCAACTACGTTCTTTCCTCACTTTAGCCTTTTGTTGCTAAACTAATAATAACAAACATACCTTTAGAGATATAGAAGGTAAAGACATGCATGAGAAGGAAATTAAGGCATGGTTAACAGCAGTAGCTAGCGTTTCAAAGGAGACTACTTAAAAAGATAAATAGACTGGTAGAAAAGCCTCTGTTCAAGATCTTTGCTGAAATGAAGCCAAGAGTTGAAAGGACTTTTCTCCCCCATTTTAGTGTTAGATTAAATGTTACTGACCTTCTTTTTTCAAATATTTGTCTGGGGGAAAGACAGGAAGGATTGTTTGTTTGTATTATAAAAAAAAAAAAAAAAAATTAGCCTGAAAACTAAAACCACCTTTGACATAGAAGCTGATAGTTTCACTGGCAAAATTCAGCCTGAAGTTTACTCTTGCCAGAAACTCCCTGGAAATACAAGTGGGTGTGTTCTGCTTGAGTAATCACATGTAAATGCAGAGGTGCCAGCGGCACTATAATAATGACTATAGTGTCTTTGAAGGCACTCTGAAGTTTCTGTTCAAAGACACTCTTAAATAATTAAATCTTTTTTTTTTTTTTCCAATTTACATGGAATATGTAATGACATCCCCCAAGTACCAGATTTCCTTCCCTTCTTTTCTTTATCATGCAAAGAATAAATAGAGTATTTTAATTAAGACACTGCTTGCTAACCTGTATAGTAAAGAAAAGTGATGAAAGAGCAGGTCCAGGTAGGTCTCTGTTGTGACCCTCAGTAACCTTTTCTTAATACAGAAGTGACAGCTTGAAAAACCTAGGTACCTCTGAGGTGATCTTAGAAGTCTGGCTTCCCCTCTGCAAATAAAGAGAGGCAATTTTGTTAACTTTGATATGCCCTCTGGCAGTTCACTCTGTGACCATTTATGTGGTCCTCCTTGTAAGATTGGCTGCTCAGCTGGCTGTATATGGTTTTAATCTTTTTTTTTTTTTTTGGCAGATACTGAGCATCTCTATACAGTAGTGTTTGAAGAGATCTGCGGGCGTTTTGGAAAGACCTATACCTGGGATGTGAAATCATTGGTCATGGGTAAAAAAGCTCTAGAAGGGGCACAGATTATTCGAGATGTTCTAGATCTTCCAATAACCAAAGAAGAGTTATTACGTGAAAGTAAAATGAAGCAGGAGAAGATATTCCCTACTGCTGAACTGATGCCAGGTGTGTTTCTTTTCAGTATGTATAAACTGTTTATGGAATTACTTAAATGCTAACCAAGGTCTAAATTTTTAATCTGCCTTCCACAAAAAACAATTTCTCTTACAGATTCAGTTTTGTCACTCTTGTTTTAGCAAGTTTTACTCAAATCTACCTGTTATTTACCTGTTAAAGAGATATTTTACCTGTTAAAGGTTACTGAAAACTTTTTTTTCTTGTTTACTTGGAGAATAACTTTTTTTTTCTATACATTTTAAAAGAAGGAAAAAGACTAGGTAAACATGCATCAATTCTGTTTTGTAAACCAGATATTCTTTATAACTGTTGTTGGCAGCTGTGTAACTCAACAAGTTAATTTTCTTTGGCTATGAGCGTAGTCCGACTTTGTTAAGCACAAATACACTTTTAAATGTGCAGGCAAATGTATGAGCCCCTGGGTTCTTTCAGCTGTGCTTCGTCTCGCCTAACCTGAACATTGAAACTTAAGCATGGTGTCTGAGCCATCTGTGTGTCAAAGGAGAGGGAGGGTTTCTCAGATTACCTGTCCTAAGACAGGAAAGTTTCATCACCTTCTGAAGATACATGTCTTACCAGTGATTGCACAGGAAGCCCAAATGAATAGCTTAAACCAGGTACCGCAAGATAAACAAGTGGATGAATCTCATCTGTGGTGTGAACTCATACTTTTATATTCCATTACATTTACATCTGGAATGCTTAGAGAAGAATCCTCAGCCATGCAAAGACAGGCAATACCTAAAGCTAGGATTGCTGTTAACTTTTTGTACGATGTTAAACTTCCTGGAGCAAATATCAATAATTTATGAAGGAAAAGAAAAAGAGGAGGAGGGAGGAGAGGGGGAGGAATAAAAAAAAAGTATTAAAAGTGAAATAACCACGTCACTGTAACAAGTCTAACTGTTATAATTTTTTCTCTTTGAATGTGTGCTTGTTTGTTCTGACAATCTCTACAGCGCATTAATGATGTTTTAATTTTTAGATGCTTTTTTTATACCTAGTTTCATAATGCATTAAAAGGATGAAAGTTAAAAATACGTGATATGTTAGGAATAAATAACAAGCAGCAAAAGTAAAAAGTGTCATTTTTTTAGGCAGCTTAAAAACTTGAGCATTTTGTGCAGCCAACTTAGTTATCTCTCTGATGTCTTTTATATGCAAGATTTTTCAGATTGCATCTTTCTCACTTATAGATCCCCCTAAAACTGTAAGCCTAGTTAAACTCTCCAGGAAAACAAGAATGATGGAGGCATGTCTTTTTCATTTTTCATGTCAAACTTCTGGGACTAACTTTGCAGCTATATTTTTTGCAAGACAAGCAAAAAAAAACATAGTCTGGTCTTAGAAAATGCCAGATGGACAGACTGGGTGAAATGTTACGAAGCACAGGGAAGAGTCGCTGTAATGTAACAGCACAGGTAATAGATGCCATTAAGTGGATATTCTGTGCCTGCTGAGGATTGTGATAATGTGGCTGAGCTGGCTTGAACAGAGTTAAAGAGAGGTGATGGAACAGATTAGCTGAAGGAAACACGAAGTTTTGCACTGTTCCTTTCTTCAAAAAGTGAATTCTGGGCTCACTGAAGCTGGGCTATTATACATGAAACAAGCAAAATTCTTACTGGGACAAGCAAGTAAACATTTTTATCATCACTAAAATTGTTCAACTGATTATCTTTTCAGTTAAACTAAATATATTAACTCTATCCCAGCCAAAACCAGGACAATGTGATAACTTTCTTCAGGCTATTTACTAAAGCAGAATTGATGTGAACTTAAATACCTCATGTTCACTGGCCATTGTGGGGAGGAAAGGCAGCCTTGGTCACTGAAGTAATAGGATCTGTGCTTTACTTGGTAGCAGCATATGAGATACAAGCTGAATTGCTATGAATTTTGAGAAAGCCGGGTTGATGTTTAATCTAGAAAGAAGTGGCTCCAGATACCTACTATTTAGTTTCTTTAAGGACTGATCTGTTCTTTAATCTGATAACCAGATTTTTTAATCTGATACTTTTCTTCTGTACTTTTGTATCTTCTGAGGATATTTATTAATGTAATCCTCATGGATTTTTTCTACAGCCTCTTCATGTTCTTTAATTAAGAATGGGCTTCATGCAGATGTTGTGTAAGATGTGAGACTGTGGTGACATTTTGAGTTTACACTGTTCTCTGACTAAACTGATCTTTGAGGTAGTTAGAGGTAAATGCAGGAAAGTGAAAGTTAATTGTAATATTTATTAACTGTGTAAGATGACACTGACATGCTGAGTCTCTCGCCATCTTTTGACAGTTAATAGGCAGGTGAGGTTCTATTTTTCAATCAATTTCTACAGTTTTTCCAAAAAGTAAGATTCAAATTTGGTTTGGTGGAGAGAAGTTCTGAATGATGACCAACGATATTTGAAAGTTACTCAAGCAAAGCAGCACTTGTTTTTGGACATAGAATGAGCTATGCACATGTTTTTGCCAGCAATGATGACTTTGTTGATTCCCAAATCAAGTAACTGACAGGTATGTCGGTGATGGTTAAGCACGGTGTGGAAGTCGTATGAATATACAATTGGCAAAGCAGTTCTTTGCCTGACAGGCTGTATCACAGCCATGGCACTTAGTGTATGACAGTTCTGAGACATTAGTGGCTGAAGATGGAATTTTGACTATTTCAGTATGGCTGAACTGACTGATAAGTTTCAATACATTGGGCTGTGGTCAAAATACAGATTTCATCTATGAAGAGGATATATCTATTTCTACAATGGAATTTTCCAGTAACTATTTGAGAGTTTTTCACAGATAGATTTATTTTCAGTTCTGAAAGAGTCTTAGGGAAGGCTAGTTTTGATTTGGTGGAGACAGGAATTAATCCAAGACAGTGCTGACAAAATGACAGGGCTGCCACTTGTGCTGCTTTTCTAAATATTTCTGTCAGAGAACAGACATTATCTGCAAGACTAACATAGTAGGCTTTCTGTTTCTGCAAATGCAGTACTACATTGCAGGGAAGTGGGTCTTCAGAAGAATAAGGAGTGCTGTTTACCTATGCATGTATAGGTGTGCTTTTGCTTAATATAAACCCACAATGTACACAGAGACAGAAACAGTTACACAGCTCCCAACGGTTACTGTAATCATGTCAAAGTTATAAAATTAATGTAATTCTTTCATAGCAGTCTCTGTTTCTTGGCTCATCATGTCACAAAACACAGATCCTTAAGGATTGTGTGGCTGTGTATGCCTTTCAGATGTTTTCCATTCCTGGGTCATTTTCATGATAACTGGGATTTCTTTGTTGCAGCTCCTGTTCAGCCAGTGCAGAATGTGATGTGCAAACTATTTTCCAGTTCAAGTACAGTTGACTGTCTCTTGCCAACATGAGGAGGTAGTTTCATATCTGAGTTTTAGTACCAAATGAAGCCAGTCAGAAATCAGAAGAAGAGAAGAAAGAAAAAGTTCAAGTTCCAATGGCAACTGACTCTAAAGTCATATATAATTTTTTCTTGAATGGTTCCATTCAACCAGCAGGCTAGTTTGCTTAGCTATTGTTTCCTTGATTCATGTTGTGCCCTTAACAGTTAAACAGACTTCCTGCCATGTTATCTTTTCTTTTCCTTGCTATTATTGTTTTAATGGTAGGAAAATCTAGTGAGTCCATGCTGGGCTCAGTGAGCCTGTAACCCCTAGAGATCAGTCAATTAGCTGCAAACTCAGAATGATGCTGTCTGTTTGGCTGATTTCAAACATTTGGCCTTTGCATTAAGTCCTAAAGGATTGCAACCCAAAAATGCTTCTACCAGGAAGTCAGCAACACAGTTTACAGAGGTTGTGAATTGTGTAAAATTTAGTACTCATATTTTTTCCATGGCCATGCATGTGTCAGTATATCCAGACTAAAATGAGATTATCGATTTGGTGAACAGGGAGTCTCTGCCACCAGAAGGAACTTTGGTACTTTTTGGAGAGCAATGAGATGAGAAGATAGAATTCTTTATTAATAGCCAATTACCTTCCAAATTTGGGAGTAGCTTATTAGTTTCCACCTCCACTTGTAACTCAGTGAAAGGATAACGTACCATTGCAGACAGCATTTTTCAACAATGTCTCAGAACTAAAAAGAAACGGGTGGATCTGAGAGTTATGTTTCCATAGTCTCATGAAATTCAGAAATAGAATAGAATAGACTATTTCAGTCGGAAGGGACCTACAGCAATCATCTAGTCCAACTGCCTGACCAATTCAGGGCTGACCAAGTTAAAGTATTCATGGCAATTACACCAAGTGGTGGATAGCTCCACCTCTGTCATGCTGTCACCTTCACAACAGCAATGCTGACTTCGCTTGAGGATTGAGAGCAAGTGCAGATAATGAATAGTGCTGTGCTGATGGGCTTGCAACTGTTGTAGCACACCAGACTACACAAAAAACATTTTTAAATCAGTTTGTAACTTAAGTGAGCAGACAGATGCTTCTTCTTCTAAGTGTGATTATTTTTTTTTCTTTCTTTCTTGGGTGCTTTTAGTGTTCAGAGGCTGCTGAGGTCTTTTACCATAGAATTCCTTTTATGAACTTGAAGGATTATCATCAAATTGGCTAGAAATCCAGCCAACTTGATAAAGTTCTGAGTGGTAATGTTAGCTTTTCTTTAATCAAAGAGAGTGATGAAATCTTGAAGAGCTTTAAGTTTGGTCTGATATCTCATTCAATGTAGGAACTGTAAATGATTTTGAAAAAGATGAGCATTCTTTTCATACAGAGGCTATATTTATCCTTAAGATTTCCATTTGTGCACAACTGGACATAAATCATGAAGACATGCATAATGCATATACACAGTTAATTTAAACAATGCATGGAGCACTTTGGTTTCCTTTAAGTCTTTTTTTCTCAGCAGTAAATCTTTTCTTCCAAATACACACTGAACGCTCTCCGACAGCTTGTTTTGTGTAACGTTACAGCAAAATGAAGTGGACTTGAATATGGGTGTC